AATCTTGTTTCAGAGGAACCACAAGATTGACACAGACTCTTTTTCCGATTGAGAAAGATCCCCAAGGGGATACTGACTCAAGTAAGGTCATTTTCGGCCACATCCCTCATCTTGGATTTTCGAATTTTCAAAATTTGACCAGAAATTCGAGTTTCCCATCGAAAAACACCCCGCGGCACCAAAAATCAGCAAGATCGATCGAACAGGAGCCGAGAAAGCATTTTAGGCCACATCCGCCATCTTGGATTTTTGAATTTTTAAAATTCACGGGTTTGTTGACCTGTTCCAAGGGTTTATCGATCAAATCACGGATTTTTCGAACCAATCACGGGGTTGTCAATCGATTCACGGATTTGTCCATCGATTCGCAGGTTTTTGACCGATTCACGGTCGTCAATCGAATGAGTGCCGATCAAATCACGTCAATCGGTTCACGTTCCAACTTTTCGATCGATTCATGTCGGTCTTGTCGGATTCATGACACCGGTTTTTCAATAATTTGTCGATCGAGTCGGTGTCGATCGATTCACGCTTTCATTTTTCGATCGATTCATGTCAATTGAATCTATAAACCCTCCCGTCCAAATTGCATGCTAATATTTATGCCACCATTCTCGAAATATTAGCAAGTCTGTATGTATCCATTCTTTTGGCACACCCTGTTTTTGGTAGAATATCTTTCCGCAGGGAAAATGCACCTCCCCCCTTCCTCATATGATGGGAGGAGGGGGGGTTTTCTCTGTTGGGGTTAACCCTCCAGTGTGTAATAGTGACACCAGGGTCGTCTCCCCTATGCAGTCTGTGCTAGAACAATCTATAGTTCCTAATTGCAAAATGAGCTTCCGCGGATTCTTCATTTTGCAATAAGGAACTATGGCCTTTTTTGCAATTTTTGGCGACAGTGTGAGGTTTTTGAAGAATCTGTCAACACAGGGTGCTAAAGGAAGTCCATAGCTATAAAATGAACCATCAAACCGCACCATTGATCGTTTTGAGGAAAAACGCCAATGGTTTCTGCAAAAGTTGCTCTCCTGAAAACCTACCGTACTGCCTATAGTTCCGAATTGCAAAATGCTATCCACTTATTTCCTGTTTTAAAGGCTTGCTTTCTTCTTTGGTCAATCTTATTGTTATATAATGAGTAGTTTATGCATAAACCAATGGTAGGCATTGGACTTATGTAAAAATTGATCCTAAGTGGATTTTCAATTTGTGACGGCAAAACAGCGACTTTCTCCACTCTTCTTTCCATTTAACCCGGTAATTTTCTTTTACTATGAAGATTACCATGCTCAATTAAAAGTATTTAAGTTTAAAAGAATTATGTGCAGAGGGTCCGCAAGTAACTGTATTCTAGAGGTTGAACGTAGTAATATTCACTTATTCCTGCAGTTGAATCACAAATATTTTTTTCCCATTTACCTACTCTTTTCCCTGGCTTTACTGATTGATTTTTTCAGTATCCCTTCCTAAAACAACTTGCTTATCAATTTAAATAGAACTATGCAAGTTTTAGACTAATTAATGGTTTATTAATATAAGGGGGTGGGCTAACTTTCAGCCCTTACTGATCCTAAGATCGTCCAAGCTAGACCAATCCATACAGGCCCAGTTCTTTCAGTGGACCAGTTTTGAGATCCTATTGTACATTGGCAGCAGGAAGTTAACATGCAATGTATCGCTTATGGGAGGAGCCTTTACGTCGTACAGGCTACAGTCAAGTGACAGATGGAGTTTGGACTGGTTTTTGCGCCCAAGTTTAAGAATCCAGTGCAGTATTCAGTAGATTTTTATTTTTAATTTGCAGGCATGATTATATGTTTCAATGTTTTTATTTTGATCACATACGATTTTTGCCTGCTCACCATGGAAATGAAGCCCTTCCTAATAACTGAATTTTTTTACCTTAGGGTTCTGGTTCTACTCCTATCCTTAGATAATATATCATTTCAGGCACCGTTTGTATTAAAAATCTTAATTTTTTCTGAAAACTACCCGTGATTTTTTTCGATGAAAGTGTCAAGGAAGGTCTCCAAATTGAAAAATTGAAAACCGCAAAATTGCAAGTGTTTTTGAAAGTTTCAAATCCTTCCTTAAAGAATTGCGTCCCCTTATGCAGAGTTAGCAAGTTACGTACCCGATAATGAACAGGTCAATGTAGATTAGTAGTTGCGAATATCATCGGAAATTATGGAAAAATTACCATTACATGCTGTGTGTATACTTTTAAATCTAATTCGATAAAATCATGCGCAGTTGCCATATTGTTGTTTTTTGCGATTATTGCAAAATTTGGCCAGAAAATGTCAATTTTTTATTTCAATAAAACCAGTCTATGCTTATTTTTCAGCAATACCATCAAATTACGGAGCTTCAATATCTTTTCAAGGAAATTCAAGATTTATCAGTGAAAAAAGTGGGTCTCATCCTGTACTTACGCTGGTTTGCCTAAAACTGTTATGCAGCAAAAATGCCCTCTGTCTTGGAGATGAATCTTGGGTGGCCTATACTTAATAAGGGTATACTCTATTTACTTGCTGAGTGAAACAGGAGTCCACTTTTCTTCTCTTTGCAAAATTCAAAAGAAAAACTGTTCTAATTTTACTTTTTGATTCCAAAGCAAATTCTGAGAACTTTAAGAAATCGCTTGTTCAGTTATTACACGGGAATAAACAAGCAAACCTATCTTGATCATGAGTTCATTTCCCATTGAAGGATATTTTTCCTGTTACTTTCAATTTTTGGAAATCTAAAACAATTAGATAAAACTTACTCTTACCATTTGTGAATCTTGAAGTTTTTCCTCTTTAGTTGGACTTAAAGAGATCGGGGCTTCAATTCTTTGCGAACATCTGTGAAATCCCAAAACGGTTTGTGTTTACTACTTACTCAGGAATTAAAAACTATTTGTCCTATTTTTCTCTGGATACTAAGGGAGGAAAGAATTCGAATTTTACTCTTTGAGTCAAGAACAACAAACTTGGGAATTTTTTTTTTTTAACAAAATCGGCTCGTCGATTTGTGTGTATTTATTTCCATAGATTAGTTGTGTTCCCTGAATTAAAGTTAAGTCACTTTGATATAATGCCCCATAGTATGTAAACATTAATCAATTGCCAGTTTATCATTTGATAATATCGCCGAAAAATAAGCATAGACTGGTTTTAATCAAATAAAAAATTGATATTTTCTGGCCAAATTTTGCAATAATTGCGAAAAACAACAGTGTGGCAACTGCGCAAGCTTTTATCGAATTAGATTTAAAAGTAAACACACAGCATGTAATGGTAGATTTTCCATAATTTTCGATGATATTCGCAACTACTAATCCACATTGACCTGTTCATTATCGGGTGCGTAACTTGCTAACTCTGCATAAGGGGACGCAATTCTTTAAGGAAGGATTTGAAACTTTCGAAAACACCCATTTACATGCTAAGGACTAACACATATCAAATTTTAACTCATTTTGACTAGATGGAGGTGGGTTTTGGTTGTCACACATTGCCTTTTGCCGGCCTTTTACCCTTGAAAGTAGAAAAAGTCGAAAATAAAAAAAAAAACGGCCCCTCTTGCGATTTTGCGGTTTTCAATTTTTTAATTTGAAGACCTTCCTTGACACTTTCATCGAAAAGAATCACGGGTGGTTTTCATAAAAAATAAACGTTTTTAAGAGGATCCGTGGAGGTTATGGCTTGTTCAGATCCTTGGGTACACATGAACCTGTACTTTAGTGTTCGTCCAATATCTTTGCTTCATATCGCCAAGGAATCAGGCGAAGGGGGAAGCTCAGGTACACGAGTATCCAACTCGATCAAGACAGCTATAACCTAAAATTCTTTGGTGCAGTTTCTCACCCATTTTTATTAGACAGTCATGATTCTCAAGATAAAAGTGGTCAGACGTTATTAAAAAATGATCAGATTCACTCTTTGTACGTATACTTACCTCCTTAAAGTCACTGAGAAAATTATTGAGGAACAATACTTAATTTTGTAGAGTCCTCGAATAATAACTTGAGGACAGCTTGATAAATCTGCCTCATCATGCAATCCATGGATCATATGATTTGTGAGGAAATTGTTTGGACAGTACCGGCAAAAATCTTCTTAGGAAATTCTTGCAATTTATTGATCTCTTCAACTTTTCGGATCGTCCATTTCGAGTTAGGAAATATTTCCTCTCTTCTCATCATGAGGAAAATTTTATCTCAAGCGGCGTAGGAATAAATTTTGAGCACAAGTTACTTATGAGAGGAAAGGTTTTCTCATTATAGGAGAAGAATTTCCTCAATACAAACGCCAGCACAGATTTTGAGGACATTTTCAATGGGTACAGTGCTGGAAACTATTATTGAAAAACATTCAGAAGATTGATATTTTGGACTTCTCAGGAAGCGTTCCGAGCATCAAAGTCAGCTTCTTCAATACAGTTTCTTTTCCATCATGTGCTGTTGCAACTGTAGTACAAAAATCACTCTTTTTCTTGGCCAAGATGGAAATAAAATGGATTTCGTGATACAAACGAAATTTTCAAATTCAAAGAGAAATAAGAGAATGTAATCATTGGAAAAATCTCGGAAATCAAGGAACTTTTTCTGACAAACAGCAATGGAAAACATAACTTTGACCGACTGGAACTTTCTACACTTCTGCTTGAGTGCATGGATTACTGTCCCCCCCCCCTCCCCTACCATTTTCTCAACCTGGAAGTAGGCAGAGCACTCAAAATCTCCCGTATTAATGAGAGTATTTTGCAGTCTCTAAAATAAGGTTTAAGTGATAAAGTTTGTTTCTTACTTTTATCCACATTTCATCGTGCGAGTATGACTGATGCCTTTTTTCAAATTTCTGTGTGCATTTATCAAATTTTTATGTTGCTTATTGTTGCTTGAGTTCGTAAAATTATTAGCATATAAGTAATTTCAATTTTAATTTTTTTGTTTTATTCTGTTCTCCTTTGTGTTAGCTAATTTTTGGCTATTTTCCTAACTTTTACAGTCATATACCGAAGGCTAAAGCTACTACTGTTGCTGAAACTCCTGAACTCAAACGGATAGCTGAGAACACAAAAATACAATCAAATGTAAGATAACCTCTAACACCTTTGAACACCACATAATTTGCTGCATTTATGCAGTTGGGGTCCTTCTATATCGGGAAAGAATAACATCATGTGTGAAATACAAGTAGTAACGGACCGATATCTTCCTCTAATAATTTAAAATTCGTTCTGAAAAATCTCAAAAAAGGGGGAAAATTCGTGGTCCCGTGTGCGCTCACGACGATCTCCACGGTGACGAGGTGGGGCTCGTAGACATTTGACTGTTGGCAATCGCACAATCGGACACTAGTATGTACATACAGTCCACTCTAGGATGTGTAGTGCATTTCACGAAACCTGAGACTTTTTATTCGGCATTAAAATCCGTAAATGGCAACGCATCAGTCTCGGACGCGGTGATCGAACCGCTCGCCGGACACCCTCTTTAGTTCAGCGACGAGAGGCCCGCAACCCGTCCATTGTGCGGGTAGGAACAATGGGCATTCTTCATCCCTCCTTAAGGACCCCTAGTACCCGAACCGAAATTTTTTCCCATTGAAAAATTCATCTTTTTGCGTGACAATTCAGGTCCAGCGGGAAATTGTGATGAAAATGCACTAAAATTCCGTCCGATCAGTGGCGTATTTTTTTTTGAGGGGGGGGGGGCGAGACCCGGGAGTCCCCCCTCCCCCCACCCCAGAGCCCCCAAAATAGTGAGAAGAAAAATGAGAGAAATCAGGTGAAAGGAAGCAAAACCGGGTGGAGAGAGAACACGACGATACTTTTGTCTAGATTATATAATTATTAATTTACTTTGGCACAAAAAATATTGGATCAAAATGTTTGAATGTAAGGAATTGGAGAGTCTACCTATCTCATTTTTTCTTCAGGAAGTTAGTGGATTTTATCCATCTCATACTTAAAACAAAACATTCCATTTGGTCTTGCATAAACTGTTTTCCATTTTTTTAAGGTCTTTTTGGGACAAAATAGTGGAGAGCTTCTTTTAATTTTTCATGACTGAAATTGTTAAAAAGTGGGGTTTTACAGGGTTAAAATCCTGAAAATTTTCCGAAGGGCCCCTCGAATCTCATGCTGCACCTGGGGGATATTATATACCCCCCAGACCTACCACCGGGGGGAGGTTTGTCACCCCCTTCCAGAACCTTATCCTACATATGCTGCTGCGTCCGATCATATTGATTTTCACCTGATATACGGTATTTGTGGTTTTGTGCGGTATGATCGCGATTCGCCGCAAAGTGCCGTATTTTAGGTTAAAATTTAGGTAATTGGAAGGGATTTTATTGTGTTTTCATCCCACTTTCTCGCTGGACCTGAATTTTCACGCTCAAAGATGGTCTTTTCAACGGGAGAATTTCGGTCCGCGTACTAGGGGTTTTTAAGCAGGTATGAAGGACGCCCATTGTTCCTACTCTCACAATGAACGGGTTGAGGGCCTCTTGTCGCTGAACAAAAGAAGGTGTCAGGGGAGCGGTCTGGTCACTGCGTCTGAGACTGATGTGTTGCCATTTACGGATTTTAATGCCGATAAAAAAGTCTCAGGTTTTGTGCAATGGACAACAGAGTACCTTCATAGGGAGAGTATGGTCATTGCGGTCACCACCTCTGATTGGCTCAGCCATCTTAGGCTGAGTGGAGCCTTCTAGGGCCCAAAAATAGCGGACACTACAAGTAAATGTAAGTACAAAATGACCCAAAACGTAGTTTTATGTACATATCGCAACAAGAACTTTACTCAAGTGCATTATTCCGACGTATTTGTATAGTTATACGACTAATTGTGTGCTATTTTCGAGAAAAATCATCCTAGATTTAGTAAGGTTGGTAGAAAGTGCGGTTGGTGATAATCAAGTAATACCCGTCAAAAGTTGGCAATGACATACCCCCACCCCCCATTATCAAAAACCAAAACAAAGCGCCACCATTGCTGGACCCTAAGCTCTCCATGGAGCTCAGTGTCCATACTCTCCCTTCTAAGGTATTATACGCTCCACAGGGGATAAAATAATATCTTTTTTTATTTTCTGTAACTGGAGCGGTTCGACTACGACAAATACTGGTTATTCTCTGCCTGTATGACGAGTCATTTGCTCGACCGAACAGCGCTCACGTTTGAGCCCCCTAATTTAGAGAAAAAATATACTTTTTTCCCAAAATTCTGGAATGGACCATATTCAGAATCGGCCGTTTTTAACCTCGGCCAAATTTTCGACATTCTTTCCTGAGTTTATAGAGGATCACTTCTCGAGTCCAAAACAATGACAATTTTTGAAATTGGATAATTAGGAGAGAGGAGGTTAAAGTTGAAACATTAAACTGGCATACCTCGTGAACTGTTTGTCGAAGGGAGATGATATTGGTCTCAAAATTTGAAGAAAATTATCAGCTTTCAGCTGACTTTCACGGAATTGGTCCATTTTGAAATTTCCGTCCATTGTTGCCACAAGATAGACGTTACCATAGCACAAATTTCCAATTTTTTACATGTTAAGCTGGATCGTACGAAAAATAACAAAACTATACTTTTAGGAAAGAAGCCTGTCAAAGCTTTAAGAAGAGCCCAAGTTCATCCTGGGGAAACGTTTTAGACCGGAGTTATGATTTTTAAAAGTTGACGTGGTGCGCGGGGACCTGGTATATTCTGAGTCTCAAGATCACCCATGTCCCAAACGTACCTCGAGTCGCAAGGATTTGCATTTCTATACTTTTAACGGTCATTTCTAGACAAAATCATCTGATAACAAAAGACAAAATCAGCAAAAATGAGTGAGATCTGGGGGTGTGCAGCCTGGTCAAATTTAGAAATATTACAAAGATTTCAAAATCGTGCCCTTAGACAGATAGTCGGGGCACGATGATATGAAAGAAATTCTGACATTCGTAGAGATCTTGGTATGGAGAAAGTCTCACAATTTACAACCAAAGTTGTTACGAACTACGAGAAACGTCTCCATCACCACCCAAATATTGAGGCAATTCAATTACTAGACAACTCCAACGAATACAGACGCTTCAAAAGGGTAAAGCCGTGGGAACTGTCCAGCCCCTCGGTCCGAACCATTAATTTTAATTAATTTTATATAATATGTAAATAAGTTACAAACTGCTCTGTTGTTTGTATTTTCTCTTTATTTAAGTTAGAAACAGAGTGTATATTTTCATTATGAAAGCTCACTCGTAACTAATAAAAAAAAAGAAAAGAAAAGAAAAAATGAGTACTCTGCAATGCATATAGGGGGTTCAAAGTTTCCATCATAAAAGAATGATGTATATCTTCAACGGTTCACTTTCGAGAAATGCGAAAGTCCTTAAATTATAGGTCATTCTGAACTTTCAATTTACATTAATGAAAAATATCCCTTTTGAAATTTTCATCCACCGCACAATGGGAAAAAAGACCATGGATCTGGTCAAAAATCTGTAACTCGGAGGAAAATGCAAACTTTGATGAAATTTCACGGAGATCTCCCTGAGGATATGTTTAACTTGTACGAATGACCAGGAATTTTGACTCTCATTTTTAGCCTCAATATAGCGAATTGCTAAAAATCCCCGAGCTCCGCACCTTGCTCCAGAAAGGGGTGTATGCAAAATCGGCAAAATTTCCCCCCTCATGGATTTTGACCAATTTTCAATATGTGATTCCTCATTACAGAATGTACCATTTCCCAAAATTTCAAGGCCTGAAATGAATTTCTTTCCGCGTAGGAGCGTTGCCAAGTTGAAAACTGTTGAGTTCCATATCTTTCAAATGAAAAATTAGATCATTCACTTCCTGAAACCTTCAACGTGAATATTAATCCAATTCTTGGCACTATCGGACAATTTTTTTGAAATTTTGGCAAGGTAGGAAAAAGCTACATATATAATTTTATTTATTTTTTTACGCTCCTTCAAACAAAGCACACAGCTTTCAGTTTGAATTAAGTTTTACATAAGTAAAATTAAAAAACCCTAATAATGGGTCAAAAATGGCAACAATGGATTGTGAGGCCCCTAAAAATTGTTCGGAGACCTTTTTAAAAACCAAAAGTGGAAAGTATGCACAAAAATACTTTTAATGACCTGGTAAAGCTTGTCAGTGGCAAGGGAGGGGGTGGATAGAAGACTCGGAGCGCCCAGATTCCAGTCGGCGCGCAAAACGTAAACTTTAATGGCTCATATCTCGCATACCAATCGTTTCCCTGAGAGATATAATACATCAAAATATACGGAAAAGTACGACAAACAAACTGAACACGTTTTTGTTCGAATCAAGAATCCGACATTTGACGATGTATCAGGGTTGAAAAAAAATTGACCCCTGAGAAAGTGTGAAAAATGACATCGTTGCAATCTTCAATTACCTAAACACGTAAGCGATCAAATCGACTGCATATTTCAAAAGAACGCAATTTTTGAAGAATTTTAGCGAAAACCGCGCTTCAATATCTTATTTTGTTCGAAAGATATGGAACTCAACAGTTTTCAAGTTGGCAACGCTGCTACGCAGAAAGAAATTCGTTTCAGGCCTTGAAATTTTGGGAAAGGGCGTACCCTAAAATGAAGAATCACATTTTGAAAATTGGTCAAAATCCATGAGGGGAGAAATTTTGACTATTTTGATATATCCCACTGGATGTGCCAAAATTCGAAAAAAGCCATTTTAAGGCAAATTAAGGCAAAAATTTTAAAGCAAACAAATTTCAACAAGTCAGGTATCGTTTCATGCGGGTTATTTTCGTCAAAATTTTCTCTTTAAACCTGAAAGTAAATGTAGAATCACTCTCAGAAGTCAAAATTAGAATTTTGGCGCCACAAATGGCCTAAAGTTGGCCCATTTTGGCTAAAAACCGAAAATTCGCTATCATAGTCGTCTAAGGTATCGATTGTAATGTATTTTTCGACAAATATTACAAATTTATGGTTCAAACTACATGAATACACAAATTTGGCCTTTTTCACCTTACTACATGAACAGTGCCAAAATTAGACTAATAATGCTGATAATATCAATAAATCACCCTTTTACGGACAAA